TAGGCGCTGTCAAGTTGAGCATGACTCGTAGTTATTCTATAAACAATAGATCAGAATCCTGCTCTATCTTGTGTCATCCTCATAATCTCTGACATACTTGAGCCCATTGCTGGAGGTCACCAAAAATGAAAAACAAAACAAACACACACTCAATGAGATGGATTTACATGGCCAATAATCATGCAGAAGGTGCTGGGTTGGACAATATTCCATTAAGCTAGCTAGGAAGGTAGGTAAAATATTTTTGCTAAAAAATTTAGACATATTTAATATTAAAACAAAAATATCAAAATTGGAAGCCTTTGTTTCTCAGTATAGCTCCATTTAGCTCTACACAGTTCTAAGCTGTTGTTTCCATCACTAACCTTTTCCTAAATCCTTCTGCTGTGTTCAATTTGCACCATGTTAAATGGTAGATAAGGAGCCATCAAGCAGCTATTTTAGCGTTCTTTAAAATGAAATTTCAGTTATGGGAACATATGTGTCTGAAGGGGTAAGATCATGATTGTAGTTTGGATGAAGTTAAGGCCTTTCAATGAAATTCTCTTAAAACAGCACTTATTCCCCTCCAAGCAGGGATATGGTCATGATGGAAAGGAAAAAAAAATTTAAAAAAATCATTGGAGCAATGTTTATTGACTTTTTCATGAACAAAAATCTCTTAGAACTTTTTGTGATAGTCTCCAGTGATTGTCTTGGGTCTTTGGAGTCAATCTGTGAAGATTATTTCTTGTTATGTGTACCTCAGAATAGAATCTATTCATAGCTGACTTCTCAAAGGCTAGAAATAAATTGCATGGGAAAAGATTTGTCATCTTTTAGTTGATGGGTGTAAACCATATGCCTCTGTGTTGGTAGCACAGCTCCTTAATACAAGGCCACCAGAGCTTTCTAGGTACCAAATTTTAACCCCCCCCCCAAATGGACACCATAAAGCTCTGAAGTTGATCTCTCTGTCTTGAACTGGACTGTCCCAGCAGATCGCATAACAAGCCAGAGTTGTGTTTAGGTCTCATTGTCTCAATCATATTGGTAAATCTAAGTCTTGTTTTGGTTACAATTCTATCTCATAAAATTGGCTTCCTTAGTTTCAGTCTTGATAAAAGACTTTTTTCTTTGTTTCTTGTAATACAATGTCTACTTTATTTTAAAAGTTACAAGCAGGTGGGAGGAAGGATTGAGTATTTAATGAAAGAAATAGAATCTAAGAAAATTTTACTTCTATAAATCTGTGCAGATCATTGTTTAATGTTTATATTTACTTATACCAGGTTACACTTTAATTGATAAAATCCATGTATAATGTTATGTGCAGTCAAGTTGGCTTCAACTCGTGGATCCATGTATAGGTTACAGGATTTCATTTTCAGAGCACTATCATAGGTGATCTCAATGTCTAAACATATATGACACAGATTGTATTTAATGTTAATTTATTCACCTAAAAAGCAATTTGCTGAGAAAATAATTTAAAAACATGGAAGTGGAATATGACGTCAGGATTGGAGAAAGATTCATCAACAGCCTACCTAAAGCAGATGACACAACTTTGCTTGCAGAAAGTGAAGAACTTGTTGAAGAAGTTCAAACACTGTAGTCTTCAATATGGATTCCATTTCAACAGCAGGAAATGGAAAATGTTTACTTCTATTTTAATGACTATGCAAAGGCATTTGACTGTGTGAATCATAACAAATTAGGAATAACATTAAGAAGAATTAGAATTATGGAATAAATATTTGTAATCATGTGGAATCTACTCATAGACCAAGAAGTCATTGTCTAACTAGAAAAACTTATCTTTTCCTGGGTTCTAGGCAACAAGCCCCCCTGTTACATGGTCTATAGTAGTTAGTGGCTAGCCCTGTCTTTGTCTAGAAAAAATTTGGAGAAAATCTGACAATTTCACATATATGCAGACCACTTTTGCACACTCTGCATCTCCAGTTCTGGCTGGGGAGAAAAAGCAAGGTAAATCATTGTCATCCAGTTTGGAATAACAGAAATTTTTCTGGTTCAAGGCTTGTGAAATGTAGAAAGAACAATTTTCATTACTTTTATGTCTAATAGATTAGATATGACATTACCATGCAAATGCATTGACACATTAGACATACAAAAACTTTATTATTTTAAATTTATTATTAAACTTTTTGAAGATATAAAAATTAATACAAATGAGTGACTCATGTAGCTATCAATATATAGAAATTCCTGTTAATTTAGATGTATTACTTAAGCAGTTTTTCTTTGATCATTACCTCTTCAAATTTCACAGTTACTATTCCATTCAATTTCATTCATAGATGAGTTTTGTCTGCTTTAGAACTTAACATAAACAAAATCATGTAGAGTTTAACCTTTTATGTTGGTTTCTTTTGCTCAGCAAATATCTTTGTGAACCATCAATGATGTGAGAAATAGCATTATATAGTCCAACATGTTTTATTGAGAAGGAATAATTAAATTTGCAATCATATCTGTGTTTCA